GATTCAGTGAAATCCTGATCAAAATTCCAACAGCCTTCTTTACAGAAATAGAAAAAACAATCTTCAACTTTATATGGAATGGCAAGAGACCCTGAATAGCTAAAATAATGTTGGAAGATAAGAACAAAGTAGTAGGACTCACACTTCCTGATTTTAAAACATACTACACAGTTACAGTAATCAAAACAACCTGATACTGGTATAACAATAGACACATAGGCCTATGAGTTGGAATCAACTCAATGGCAACAGGTTTGGTTTTGGTTTTCATAGACCTATGGAATAGAATTGAGAATCCGGAAGTAAACCCACTCATCTGTTGTCAACTGATTTTTGACAAAGGTGACAGGTCCATTCAATGAGGAAAGAAGAGTCTCTTCAATAAATGGTGCTGGGAAAACTGGATTTCCACACGCAGAAAAATGAAACAGGACCCATGCCTCATACACACACAAAAACAAATTCAAAATGGATTAAGGACCTAAATGTTCAAACCAAAACCATGAAATTCTTAGAAGAACAAGTAGGAACAATGTGTCAGGTCTAGCTTTCAACTATTGATTATCTAATATAATAACAAAAGCACAAACAGCAAAAGACAAAATAAATAAATGGGACCTCATAAAAATTAAAAACTTCTGCTCATCAAAAGACTTTACCAAAAAAGTGAAAAGACAAACTACCCACTGGGAGAATATCTTCAGAAGCCATATATCTGACAAGAATTTAATAACCAAAATACATATAAAACTTTGACAATTTAACAACAAAAAGACAAATAACCCAATCATAAAACGGGCAAAGAACTTGAATAGAGATTTCACCAAAGAGGATATTCAAATGACCACCAAACACATAAAAAGATGCTCAACATCATTAGCCATCAGAGACCTGCAAATCAAAACTACAATGAGATACCATTTCACTCCCACTAGGATGGCTAAGATAAAAAAAAAAAAAACAGAAAATAACAAATGTTGGCGAGGATGTGGGGAAATTAGAACACTTATCCATTGCTGGTGGGAATGCAAAATGGTACACCATTGCAGAAAACAGTGTGGCGGTTCCTCAAAAAACTAAAAATAGAACTACCACATAACCCAGCAATTCCACTTCTAGATACATACACAAAGATTTGAAAGCAGAGACTCAAAAAGAGATTTGTACACCAATGTTCATTGCAGCGCTATGCACAGTAGCTAAAAGGTGGAAACAACCTAAATGCCCATCAACAGATGAATGGATAAACAAAATGTGGTACTTACATACAACGGAATACTACTCAGCTGGTAGCAAAAATAAAGTCTTGATACATGCTACAGTATGAATGGAGCTTGAAGACATTATGCTGAGTAAAATAAGTTAATCACAAAGGGACAAATATTGTATGACATCACTTATGTAAAAAAGACAAGAAAAGGCAAATGTATAGAGACCAAAGTTTAATAGTGGTTATCACCAGTGGGAGGGAGGGGGAAAAGGAGGGTTAACAGTGATGGAAAAATTGCATTGATTAAGGGTAGGGTTGCACAGCCGATGATTGTAATTGCTGTCAATAAGTTGTACACTGGTAAAAAGTTGAATTGGCAAAAGTAGTGTAATAGGTATATTTACAACGATGACAAAAAAAGAGTAGCTGCTGAGGCTATGTATGTACAACCAATCACCTCATGGGATTTGGTTCCTTAGTTTGGAGGTTTCGGGTCATGGTTTCATGGGACATCCCAGTAATTGGCCTTACAGCATGTTTAGTGTGTCTGTTCTACCTCCTAGTTCGTTGCGTAGCACTTGGGGTCTTAAAAGCTTGCAAGCGGCCATCCAAGCCATAACAATTGGTTTCTATTCACCTGGAACAACAAAGGAAGAAGACGAGTCAGGAATAGGAGGAAGATATGGAATGTGTGGTTAACTGCCTCCATGAACAACTGCCTCCTTTGCCATGAGACCAGAAGAACTGGATGGTGCCTGGCCACCACTACTGAACATTTTGATCAAAGATTCCATAGAAGAATCCTGATCAAAAGGGGGAAAATATAGAACAGAATTTAAAATTCTAATGGACTCTAGACATAATTTAAAATTCTCATGGACTCTAGACTTTCTGGAGCTATGGAAGCTGAATGAATCCCTGAAACTATTGCCCTGAGATAATCTTTAAACCTCAAACCAAAAGCATGCCCTGAAGTCATCTTAAAACCTAATAATAGTTTAGCTTAACTAGTGAAAAAGGTCTGCCTTGAGCATTATGCTCTTTTAGGAGCTATCTAATGGGATCAAATTGACAGCAATTTGAAAGATTAGATAGGAACTTAGGAGGCAGTGAGTTTATGTTAATGAGGGATGAACAGCTCAGAAAATGAGAGTGAGAATGGTTTCACAACTCGAAGAACGCAATAAATGGCTCTGAACTGTACATGTAGAAACTGCTGAGTTGGTGTATGTTTTGCTGTGTATATTTTCCACAACAACAATAAAATAAATAAAATTTAGAAAAAAAATGTGGTCTGTGGACCAAAACTGGAGCATGAACTGTTTGTTACCGGTGACATGAGTACAGAGATTGAGAGTAAGCATTTAGAAATTTTTATGGCTATTTGAAATAGTCATTTTATGTATGTTCAATTTAATAATTAAAAATAAGTCTTATATTCTATGAAAAAAAATTTACAGCCTTGGAAATCCTATGGAACAGTTCTACTTTGTCCTATAGGGTCACTATGAGTCAGAATCTACTCTAGGGCAGTGGCTTTGGTTTGGTTTGGCTGTATCAGGCAATGTGCTAGGTTCTGGGAATTCAATTCTGAATAAGAACTAAATTGTTCCTGCCCCAATAGGACTCACAGTCTAATAAGGGGGTACATAGATGGAATGGATCATTATAACACAGAATGACATCTGCTTTTATTGGTAAGGATATGCAGAACACTGGGGGAACAAGGAAGGCACCTGACCTAAACGTAGGATAGCCCTTTGACACTATGTTAAGTACTTCCCCCTCTATATGATGCTTGAAAGGAGAGTCAGTTAGGTGTTTCAGGGAGACCAGACCTTCTTGTTCCTTCTACCATTTAGGTGACATGCTGATTCTTCCTTAGGCCAGACCCTGGGAATGAACACAACCACCGCAAACTCTTGGTAGAACCCTCTGCTTGCTCCATGCTGTGCAGCCACGTCTGACAAGACTTCAGTAACGAAACCCCTAACAGTGACGGCCAGCATGGACTCTCATTCCCAAATTTTGGTCTCTAGCAAGCAATCATGGAATACCGTATCTCAGAGCTGCACTACAAGTCCTTACCAGATGTTCGAATCCCTTCTATAAAATTTTCAACAAACGGTTGTCCAACCTCTATCTGAACACTTTTCATGACCTGTAATATACTACCATACAAAGTGGCCCTCTCTATATTTTAGAAAGCTCTAGTTACTAAAATTTTCTCACTTTCAGAAAGCTACAATCTATTACTCTATAACTTCCACCTGAAGGTTTATGATTTTGTTCTCTTGAGCAACACGGAGAACTTTGCTAATGTTTGCTAACAGCTCCCACTCTTCCCCTGAGGGGCTCATGTGCATTTGGAGGTAGCCAAAGGTCCCAAATAACAAGGCAGAGTGGGCAAGCAGCGCTCAGATTGTTACGGTGAAAGATATGTGTTGAAAAGTCTTCTCGGTGGTTACGAGCACAGATTTTAGAATCAGACCGATCTGAGTTCAAGTCCCAGCTCAACAATTTACTAGCTGTGATCATTTACAAGCTCTGTGACCTTGAGTGAGTGTTTAATCAAATGAGGATGACGTCACCTACCTGCCAGTGGTGCTGTGGAGATCCCATTAGTCAGGCTCGTAGGCACTTGGCTTGGTGTTGGCCACATAGCACATTCTTGGGAAATGAGATCCATGAAGTGTGTGGGTGAAAGGCACGTATTTGATTTTGCATATAAACCTATGAAAATGTCTCTTTATGGCAGTGATTCTTATCTAAAGGTCATCCCACCCCTTCCCAATTCTATTTTAAGGTTATATTACAGATTGTTTCCTGGGCAACCTTGTTGTTAGGTGACATTGAGTTGATTTTGACTCATAGCAACTCCATGTGACAGAGTAGAACCGCCCCATAGTGTTTTCTGGACTGCAGTCTTTACGGGAGCAGGTCACCAGGTCTTTCCCACAGAGCCGCTGGGTGTGTTTGAACGGCCAACTTTTTGGTTAACATCTAAGTGCTTAACTGTTGCACCACCAGGGCTGCTTTCGGCAACCTTAGTCCACTGACTAGGAAAAAGAAAAAAACAAAAGAACTGAGATATATAAGGTTTGGAGTCAGAAGACCTAGACTCAAACCCTGATTCAGTCCCTTTTCTATTGATCTGGAGCCTTGGTGTTAAATTGCCTGAGCCTTGGTTTCCTCACCTAGTAAAATGCACCAACATGGAGAAAATAGGGTAAATGCCCACCATGAAGCACTACGGAGCAGTCAGAATCAGCAGATTAGAATACGAGCAGTGTGAATGGATCTGAAAAACAGTTCTGAGCAAAAAAAAAAGTGAGCAGCAGAATGAGAACTCTAAGAATGCCATTTATGTACAATAAAAAACACACACAATCTATAACACCCATGCAAACTATAGAAATCAAACATATTGCAGTGATCATCTATAGGAGGAAGAGAGTACAACTGAGGTAGGAAGTTAAAAGGGATAAATAGAACAACAGAGGGGCCGCAATGAATTAAAAAATAAATAAGCCAAAAATAACGGGAACAATGATATTCCCCTACCTTCCTCATAAGGTTATTCTGAGGATCTGATGAGATTACGCAATATGCAAGAAGATAATTTACTGCTTTCATTATAATCTTCATATCGGACAAAGGAACGGAACAGAGTTTAATAGAAATTCCCCCATTGCTCTTCAGCAGGAAGCCCTTGCCAGGCCAGCGCCCATGAAGCCTTGCCCTGGCTTCAGAGTCTGCTGGTGAGATGACTTCAAGCTCTTCATGAAGGAGGGTGGCAGGCTCTGCTCTCACTTTGGGAGACGCCACTTGCTGGCAGAGCCAGAAGCAGCAGCAGCCTCTTTCCATGGATCCACAGCAAATGGCCCATACGGGCCCTCGGAAGAAGAGAGCCAGACAGATGGGCGCATCGATGGCTGCCACTCCTCAGGACATCAAGTTTCAGGATTTGGTCCTCTTCATTTTGGAGAAGAAAATGGGAACCACCCGCAGGGGCTTCCTAATGGAGTTGGCCAGAAGGAAAGGGTTCAGGGTTGAAAACGAGCTCAGGTAGGACATCACTGATTTCGTTTTGTAAATAAGCAGGGACTTTGTGAACAGGTCTTTTGGAACCCAAGACAGATGTGCTTTCTTCCACATATGGAAGAGGTGATGGTCCCACTGGGAGAACAACAGACCTGGAATCAGAAGGAAATCTTGAGACAATTAAGGGGAAAGAGAGGGAACACTGAACACAATTATATTGCAACTGGTTGGCACCAAGTGATAAGATAGTTATTTTGTTTGTTTTTACCTTTCACTATTGTGAGATAAGGTATCTAGGTGTGACATAAGGCATCTAATAAGCAGAAAACAATTTGGAAACTGTAATATTAAAGCCACTCAATTTCATTCTTGACCAAATTGAACAAAACACCACTGAGTTTAGTTTTAAAAAAAAATTGGCTACTTTGAGACAGAGAGAATGGTTTGGTTGTTTGGCTCCTACTAAAACATCCGGCTGTGCTGAGCTGACCAATGTTTGTGATGGGCTAGGGTTAGTGACTGTAGCTGCCTTACCACAGGCACCCAAGTGTGGTTTTGATCATGATTTCATGGGATTTGTAGGCAGGGATGTTAGTTAAAGATTTAGGGGAGCTCTGTCCAGGGGTGGTAGACACCACGGTGATTGTGGTAAGATCGGAGCCAGGCTAGTTGGCAATTGAAGCAATCATTTTGGCCACCTAGACTGTTCTCTCATAAACCCACATACTACTCCCGGCAATCTTTGTTGTTTTTCTAACCATTTATAAGCTGGCGTATAATATATGGAAGAGAAAACCAAACACAATCCAGCAACAAGTAGTATTAGAACTTTGACATAAATGGTGGTTCCAAACCAAACTGCCAGGGTGCTTGCAAGTGAAGAAGAATAATGATTAATGCTCTTGTCTGGCTTGGGATGTCCAAGGAATTGATCGACCATGAGTTTTTCAGGAAAAACTCTAAGAACGATATGTGAAAATAAATTTTTATTTTAAAAATAGTCATTGGTATTTGAAAATAAAAATTGACCAGTGTTTCCTGACAAAAGAATGTCAGCTTCAAAGTGTTGGGGAGACATATTTCAAAAATCAATCATTAGAGATGATCATTTTCACTAACATTCATGGAAAAAAATCAATGCCGCAGAAATATTTTATTTTCTACTAAAATGCTCAATTCAGAAATGTCTGAGTTTCCCGTCGTCTTTCTTCCATCTGATTTCTCTTTACATCAACTCCTTTTCCCCTTCTCTGCTTTTGTTATTTAAATCCCCTACAGCCACACTTAATCTCAATCTCATTTTGGTCTTAACATCTTCTCCACAATATCCTAGATTTCATCTAGTTGTTAAATCGGCCTCATTTTACAGACTTACGTAAAATGTTAGAGCTAGGGGGAAAAATTACGTATAAGGGCAAAAATACAGCCCTTCACAAATCAGTAAAAACCAAACCCGTTGCCATCCAGTCTTACTCAAGGCAACCTCTTAAGTTACAGAGTAGAACTGCTCCAGAGTGTTGTCTTGCCTATAATCTTTAGGCAAACAGATGGCCAGGCCTTTCTCCAGCAGTACTGCTGAGTGGGTTTGAACCACCAACCTTTAGGTTAGTAGTCAAGTGCAAACTGTTTGTGCCACCCAAAGCCCTCAAAAAAAAAAAAAAAAACAATAAAGAGGCAAAAAAAGAAAGAAAAAAAAAGCCCAAGAAATTAAACTCCTTAGCAAATATGGATCTGCTGTTTATGGTAAAGAAATTTGGCAAGGGGTGGTGGGCAGGAGGGCAAGAGCCAGATGATCCTAAGGTACCACTTACGTGGAAAGCTCTCTGTTTAAGCGTCCAAACTTTCAGCAAGGGCCCACTGATTTAGTTACAAACACAGTTATGAACGTGTCCATGGTGGCTGAGGCAAGCACTCAGGTAGACAGCGGGAGGTAAGTTTCCTCCGTTGGCAGGAGAACGGAGAGGCAGCTCTGTGCCCCAGGTGACTGCTGCTCAGGACGAGCCCAGCTGTTCACGACAAAGGAAACTGGTACACGGCGAGCAAACTGCTGCTGTGCGTGTGATGGTGGCAAAGTTCCCCAGCTGGCAGCTTGGAAGACACATTACATAAAAACGTGTTCTATAGCGCATACTAAACCACAGGAAGTAGAAGTCCTAGCTCTCAAACAGAATTTCTGTACATAGATAACAGGCTGTAATTGGAGAGGAAAACAGAAATTATTATAGGGGGTAATCTCTAGATAAATCCAGAGACCTCAAATATGGATTCTGCCCCTTTCCAGCCGGATGATAAGGGGCAAGGCCCCCCTCTCTCCTGTCTGAGCTTAGCTTCCTGATTAATGCTCTGTCTGCTGTGATCACCAAATGAGACTATGGATGTCAGTGTGCTCTGGTAAATTAAAACAGTCATATCAATGTAAAGTGGGATGATTTTCTTCTTGCTTAGCTGAATCCATTGACCCACACAGCAAATCCCTGTAGGGAAGGTTGTCTTTCCATACCATGAACTAGGTCAAATATATAAACAAAGAAACAAAGACAGGAAAGAAACTCATCAAAATGTTTAAAGTGGTTCTTCTGGGGGAGTAGTAGTGAGAGATGATGGCTGTTTTCCAAATTTTTTACAATACCTGCATATTTTAAAAGGAAAAATAATTTTTAAAAGCTGATGTATAAGAGTCAAAGAAAGAGGAGCTAAGAAAAATAAAAATAAAAACAATATGCTCTGAAAATAGGTGGCAATCTCCATAGTTTCTGGCACATTCTTTGGCTGTCAGGAGGAGTAAATTTTAGAAAAAAACGGATTGCTGTTTTACGCAGGCCCAAACAGAGGCCCATCTTTACAGGTACTGGTAACAGTGTGGGATAAAACCAAATAAACCCACTTCAATTTTTCTGTCAGGGGTTCTGAAACAGATCAGTTGCAGGAGGGTTTTTTCCAACTGTAAGGAGCCCTGGTAGCACAGTGGTTAAGTGCTCAGCTGCTAACTGAAAAGTCGACTGTTCAAACCCACCAGCTGCTATGCGGGAGAAAGATGTGGCAGTCTGCTTCTGTAAAGATTACAGGGTTGAAAACAGAGATGGATTACCCAATAAGCAAGGTACGCACATAATCTTTGATGTGGTGAAGAAGAGATGAAATTGAGCACTACAGATTAGTGAGTAAGCACAAGTTAGCCTGTGTGTACCTTGCTTATTGGGTAATCCGTCCTTGCTGAAAACCCTATGGGGCAGTTATACTCTGTTCTATAGGGTCATTATGCATCAGAATCTACTCTACAGCAACGGGAGGGGAAGGATGGGAAGGGAAAAAACACTAACTAGATAAGGTGAAGGGTAAGACAGCACACAATACTGGAGGAAGTCAGCACAGCTTGACCAAGGCAAGGTCATGGAAGCTTCAGAGACATATCCAAACTCCCTGAGGGACCAAATTACTGGGCTGAGGGCTGTCAGGCCAGTAAGTCTGGTATTTTGTGTGTTAGAATTTTGTTCTACATTTTTCTCCGGCTATGTCTGGGACCCTCTATTGTGATCCCTGTCAGAGCAGTCACTAGTGGTAGCTGGGCACTGTCTAGTTGTGCTGAACTCAGTCTGGTGGAGGCTGCGGTAGTTGTGGTCCATTAGTCCTTTGGACAAATCTTTCCCTTGTGTCTTTGGTTTTCTTCATTCTCCCTTGCTCTCGATGGGGTGAGACCAGTGGAGTATCTTAGATGGCTGCTTACAAGCTTTTAAGACCCCAGATACTACTCACCAAAGTAGAATGTAGAACATTTTCTTTATAAACTATGTTATGCCAGTTGAGTTAGATGTTCCCTGACACCATGGTCCCCACAGCCCTCAGCCCAGTAATTCAGTCTCTCAGGGAGTTTGGACATGTCTATGGAGCTTCCTTGACCTTGCTTTGGACAAGTTGTGCTGGCTTCCCCAGTATTGTGTACTGTCTTACCCTTCACCAAAGTTACCACTTATCTATTGTCTATTTAGTGTTTTTCCATCCCCACCTTTCCCCTCCCTCGTAACTATCAAAGTTTCTTTCTTTTTGTGTGTAAACCTTTTCATGAGTTTTTATAGCAGTGGTCTCATACAATATTTGTCCTTTTGTAATTGACTTATTTCACTCAGCCTAATGCCCTCCAGATTCATCCATGTTGTGAGATGCTTCACAGATTTGTCATTGTTCTTTATCATTGCATAATACTCCATTGTCTGTATATACCGTAGTTTGGTTATGCATTCATCTGTTGATGGGCACCTAGGTTGTTTCTATATTTTTGCTATTGTGAGCAATGCTGCAATGAACATTGGTGTGCATATGCCTATTTGTGTGACCACTCTTACTTCTCTAGGATATATTCATAGGAGTGGGATTGCTGAGTCATAGGGTATTTGTATTTCTAGCTTTCTGAGGAAGAGCCATATTATTTTCCAAAATGGTTGTATCATTTTGCATTCCCTTCAGCAGTGCATAAGAGTTCCCATCTCCCCACAGCCCCTCCAACATTTGTTATTTCCAGTGTTTTTGATTCGTGCCAGTAATGCCGGGGTGAGATGGTATCTCATTGTGGTTTGATTTGCATTTCTCTAATGGCTAGTGATTGACAGCATTTCCTCATGTGTCTGTTAGTCGCTTGAATGTTTTCTCTGGCAAGTGTCTATTCATTTCCTTTGCCCATTTTTTAATTGGATTGTCTTTTTGTTGTAGAGGTGTTGGATTTTCCTGTAGGTTTCAGAGATTAGACTTTTGTCAGATTTGTCATAGCCAAAAATTTTTTCCCAGTCTGTAAGTTCTCTTTTTACTGTTTTGGTGAAGTCTTTTGATGAGCATAAGTGTTTAATTTTTAGAAGATCTCATTTATCTAGCTTATCTTCTGGAGATTGTGTGTTGTTAGTTATGGTTTCCATCCTGTCAATGCTGTGTATTAGGGCCTCTAGTGTTGATCCTATTTTTTCTTCTATGATCTTTATAGTTTTTGGTTCTATATTTAGGTCTTTGATCCATTTTGAATTAGTTTTTGTGTATGG